TATTTCATTGCATCGAATGCTTGGATAATAAAATTATAGTAGTGAAGAAGTCGAGATAATTTACAATAGAAACCTGAAATCACCATTTTACGTGTTTTCGACCCATTATAAGAGAAAAGGCTGAACAGGCTGTGAACAAAGTAACACAAACAATTTTAGCTTTATAATAACGCGCTTTTCGTATCCACTATGCGACATTTGTTGGAAGCGGCAACTTGTTTGGAGCCTCCTGTTTTAACATTGGCAGTTTGGACGAACTCTGCCCTATTTGTGTGATCACTATTCTTTACGTAGATGAACGAACTTTCGTTTTTTTACAGTGACACCAGGTACCGCACAAACCTCGCCAGGACCACCTACGACGATCCCAACACTGGGTATGTTCTATTTGATTCGAATTTTATTTGCATTACTATTGTATTAACATACTCGATTTTAGTTAGCGTTGAGGGGGCAGTCTTAATTAACTCTACAACAAGGTACATCCACCTCCTATGTCTTGTTCTGTAAAGGCATTATTCACTGATGTATACATTCCGCTATTCCCGTTGATAAGTACACTCTGCTAAATTATATCATTAACCTGTAAAAGAGCTGATTATTTCTGTCAAATTCGTGAAGTTTAAAATCAAGTGAAATCACGCAAACATCAAAATACTGAGGTAAATGTGGAGGTAAATTGTTTTACAGTATAATTGCTTCTGCATATCGACCGTGTTTGTAATCGCTTTGTTTAACGTTGCCGTTTAACTTGGCAAGTTGTATACTTAAGATGGTTGTTGCTGCATTAAGTCCCTTTTTCGGGTGAATTGAACATTTGCATTCTGTATCCGTACTGTACCCTATTCATATGTAATACCATAGGTTGCGTTATTTTGTGCCACTTTATCAAACTTGTCTGTAATTGTGGCTAACATCATAAAATCGCAATTCGTAAATATGTCGGGAATCATTTCTTGTGCAGATGAACAGAGCGTTATACCTAGATCGTACTTGGGCACTGGCTTACAGGTGCACGTCACTTAATAAATCGTTTTTTTGAGATGGCTTGATGATTTTGTACTGGTGTTTGGTTGCACATTTCATTTATTCTCAGCATATTACAGCACAATGCCAGCAACTGCTGATCGCAGCACAGCATTATTTAGCCAAATGTGCACCACACTCTGGATCACTGCTAGTGGTGGAACCGAACCGAATATTGTTAAAGTTTGCCATTTCACTTATTGACTCAATGAAAGCTAATTTTTCAAATATAATATGGTTAACAAGATACGGAAGTGACGTATTAATTGTGGATTTGACGTTTTATCTTTCATCGCAGCCACTGTACTTCCGGAAGACGACTCTGGATGCGGAAATGAAAAATTACTCGAAGCTCCATCAGGGATATTGTTTAGCACGAATTACTATACCAGCAGTCGCTATCGTTCTAATACCCGATGCCAATGGAAGATCGCCGTGGCTGACGATGCAGTAAGTTACAACCATTTAAATCGGCAGTCGTCATGTCGTAGGTTCGATGTGCCTTTAAAAAGTTTGGTTTTTATTCGGAATTTGACAGGGACGTTTTCAGTACTGTCACAATGGGGTAATTATCAAGAAAATATTAATATCAATCACTT